ATAGAACCAAAAATACCAAGACTGTTCCCGAGCTATCAATATGGACATCCCATGCCTGTGATGTTACTGGAGTGCTGCCTCATGCTAAACGCAGCTATGCCAGACGCTTCGACCCCAAGCTGCATACCTTCAGCTAGCACCATCACCTGTTCGATGTGCGTGCGCCACCTGTTTGCGGACCGTACCAGTGGTCATTTACTCTTTCGAAAGTAAATACACCAAAATTATCACGTCACATCGAGCTATTTTCCTTCAAACTTCCAATATAATATTCCTATATTTTATATCGTCATTTGTTACCACAGTCGCCATACTGACGAGGTCCGATTATGGTACTGTTTTGGAATGTAATACGACTTAATGGACCGAAACATTCCAAATTCAGCGTTTCTTTGTTTAATTTCTATTCATTACTATAATTTTATTAGTTACTATAAACCATAGTCTCATGTCGCCTCCACATCTCGCTCTGTTTAGTAGTTAACTTCGTGAATCAATTGAACATGAAAATATCTGGAATGGTATTGTCGGAGAGCGTCTCTGTTCTGTTCCGGCTCATGATGCTTATTGCCTTTGACCCATACACACTTCAATTGATCGAAACCGATCCACTTGCAGCATACCATGTAAGTTGGAGTACAGAAGCACTCACTACGGATCTGTTACTTTCACTCATGCAACATGGAGTCGTGAGCCTCAAGAGTGCTAAAGCACTGGAAAAAGGAGGGAGAAGAGAATTAGAAGCTCGTTATTTTACTGGCTGAACCGAGGAAAAAGGGGAGGGGATAAGTCGTTTAGCACCTTATCTGACTTTGGAGTGAATGAAAAGGTGGATATGCTTCATTCGCATTTATACAACTCATCAGAACGGCCGCTCATCTTCTGCTGCACCTGCTCCACACCGTCAATCCCGAAACACCAAGTCGTCCCAGGATCACCGCGGTTACGAAGGTAAGTGAGCAACTACAATGGTGAATCGTAAACAAGGAGCATCTCGCCTACTTGCGCTATTAACACGTGGCTTACTTAACTTGGCAATACGTGACCTGCCTAGCGCGGCAACGAACGTGACCTGCTTGGCCTTCTTCAAAATCAAGGTACCTCCTGTAAATTTGGTAGCTCTCAATCATTGCTACTTCTTGTAACCTGAATTTAATGTCTTTGCATTCTACTGCGCAGTGCCATCTGGCATTCCTCGGACTGATTCTGGGGGTTTTGCGCTTCTCTTACCACTGCGCATTTCCTGCATTTATTTCGGTATGACCATTCAGTAACTCTCGAAGCGCCCCGAGATATCTCATTCTTAGGTACTATTCAGATCTCCCGGGCGGATTCTGAGATATTTCTCTTCTTTGCATCATACAACATTTTCGGAATGGTTCTGACGTCTACTGTGTGCAATGTGCTTTTTTGCTGAATTGTTCGTTTCTTCGATTATCACAAATCATAGGATTTCTTATTTCGATTATCAGATCATCGGATTTCGCATGAATGATGATTTTCCGGATTGAAAACTGATTTAGTCCTTAAGACGGGGGAGGGGGAAGGTGATGCGACATTTACTCTTGTCTCGCGGGATGGATTCCTCGCAGCACTGACAGTCGATACCGGAAGTCGGAATCAGACCGAAAACCGGAAAAAAACGAAATTAGAATAGATCTCGTGGCTCATTTCGAAAACTCCAGCAAAGATATGGGACGATTCTTGGGCATGTTTCTCTTAGTAAATCATTCACTAACACACACCATACCATGCACAGAAATGCTTGCACATCTATGCATACAACATGGCCATACACCTACACAAAAAAAAACTCATACAAAAAACAATTACAGGCACAGAAACAAAAATATGCAATCATAAAAATAGT